TCCCCTTCCCACGACTGTAACAAAGTCTCTCTCCCCTGCCCACAGAACCGACCTGTGAGAAGTTGCTCGATGTCAATTTTATCTTTTCTCCCCTACCCAGACAAATGACTTGTGAGATTTCAGTAAAAACGCATACTGTATTTTTTTTTTCTTGTCTTCTCTCTGTATCTCTTTATAAATTGATGCCCCCCTCTAAAGGCTAGAGACCTTTGATTTGTGTATTTACATTACTGCCTTGGAATTTACCCCGGCAGCGCTCGGTTGAATGTGCACAACTTAAAACTCCCTTTGTATCCTTGCACGTACGGCCCCGTTCTCTCTGAAGGGGCATAGCCCTTCCCTCAAGTCTTTAATTCATTCAGCTCCCCTCCCCGGGTATTTCTGCTGCTGGGGAATTGTCAAAGAAGATTTTTTAAAGGAATAGAGGTGATCTGAAGTGTTGGCTGTGCCCCTGACAAAGGAAGGAGACTTGCATTTAGCCGAGAGCGGGACTCGTGCAGAGCATGCAGTTCCTGCTTTGAAGAGCTGGGCCGTAACGTGTAACCTGCCAGGGCTGCCTGGTCCTTTCGCCCTGATCAAAGTGTGAACGTCAATAATAAGAATCTAATAATCTGAAATTAATTAAATGTTCAAGGAAAAGGGGGAGGGAAGGAAAGCCTGGAGAAAATGATAAATGATTCTTTCCTTTCTGTAGTATCACCCTAGATGCCCAGGTGAAGGTACTGAGCTTTTGGGAATGAAATACTACTTGTGCAAGTTGCACGCTACTTCTAGATGCCATGAGCCCCCTGTGCCCCAGGAGTCCCAACAAAAGTGGCGGTAGAAGTGCAACAGTTGTGGTTAAAACCTGTCAACAGCCGCCAGCGATAAGACTGATAGCATATAGCAAGATTATCAGTTTTGTTAATATGAACTTTGGAAATATCAATATATTTTTCCATAAACTTATCAAGAAGAAGAGCTGTAATTGTAACTGCTGACACACCTGAAGCAATGCTGTTCAGTAGCATTTGCTGTTGTGCAAACTTGGAAACAAAAGCCATACTTACATGAGAATGCAACTGTTAAGTACTTGTAAAGATTAGCGAGCCAAAGGTTAGTGGCACTTTTGAGTCTCAGGCATTAGTGATATAAATTCCAGAAGATTTCCGCTGTTTCAGGGCAATGTATAAAAAGAAAAAAAGTTTCCAGTGTCTTTGTATCACACATGTGCTCTCTATCACTGTCAGACCCTTGGCAGCCCCTTTCACTTGGGAAATAAATAATCCAGAAGAAACATGCATCTATAGTGGATGCCACATACGGATGGAAAAGGTTACAGGTTAAATGTAACCTGTAGCGACATTAGAAAAAGCCTGTAGCTGGAACTTGCCAAGGGCACTGACTTCAGGGGCTGTGTGAGGTCACCTATGGAAAAATGCCGTGTCATTACAGCAAGTGCCATTACATCATTATGCCCACATCTCTGGAAATTAAGAATAATTCAGGTTATGTTAGGCTGAAACCACCTGATCCTCTTAATTAAAAATCAAAGTTTTGGTTTTTTTTTTAATACACAGTATCTGGGACTAACACATGGGTAGGCTCAACCACCAACCCCTTTCTAGAAAGGGCTGTCTGAACCAACACGTGAGTACAGTGGCAGCGTTCCCGCCACTGCCCTGGGCTGGAGGTGCTGTGAGGAGAAGCCTGCACCCGGTGACTAGAGCCCCTTTCCTTCACCTCCCAGTTTCCAGCCTTGTGGTCTGACCAATACATCTCAAAACATATATATACACACACACACACACGTTTGCCTTGTGCTGCCCCAGGAGGAACAGGCTTGCTTGTGACCCAGACCTGTACTTTGGTTCAATCGGTTTCCTTCTTAGAAAAACTTTGTCCTGGCAGGATCAAGATTACAGGTTCACCTTAATCTTTGTTTCTGCACTTTTCCAGATAGGGTGTGATGAGACAGGCTTGACCCAAGGATTGGGAATAGACACCTTCAGAAATAACAAGCAGAAGCGTTTCTTGTTTTCAACACTGCAGTTGACATGAGCTGTTGTTCAGCCCAGTGGAACTGACCATTGCCTCCGTTTTGTTTCTGGTGCCTGGAAATGAGCAGCTGCAGGCAGTGTGCACTTTTAAACCTTGGCTGTGCACACATGCAGTCAGAGATGCAAATTCCTGCTTTAAATGCAGCTTTGGGGGGGTGTCTTTTGGCAGTGACTGCAGTCAGCTGCATCTCACCCCAGCAGGGAGAGCTGCAGGACAGATAGGAAACCTGTAGCAGACAGTTGCCTATTTATTTCCTGTGTTGCAGGCACAGTGACTTGCAGAGCCTTCCCTTCAACGCTGGAAGGTTCACATGATGTATTTCACATTCTCTAGCTACAAAAGAACAAGAAATTGCATAGGCCTGTGCCAATTAAAACTTCAGCTCGTTACCTTCAGTGTTTCTTTCATTGTCTGAAAGGCAAGACAACCCCCAAACCTACCTCCATTAAAAAGGGAAA